GCTCGAGAAATAGATGAGTTTCCATACCTGGATCACCGGAAATGGTGGCCGGATGACGGAGAACGAGCCGGCGAAAGTTTACGAAAAAAACTGTCGAACACCGCCTGTTTCTTGGCTGTTTCCAGCGACTACGGTGGCGAATCGGGGGAGCGAAAGGCTGGGGATGGAAGAGGGAAGTGTGTTGGTTCTAACGGGACTAGTCTTGCTTCAATTGGTGGCCGGAGTTGAGAGATATCACCTTTGGAAGTCAGCTAGTCGAGCTGCCCCAACTGCAGAAATTCTGGGTTTAAAAAAAAATTGAACTTCGAAATATTTACAATTATGTCACTGAACTTCTTTTCATCGCCATTTCTTCGTTACAACTTCGATTCGAGTCCACTACATGTCTACAGACTCGTTTCGACATGCTCTACGAAAAGGTCTAACCAAAATTTCCAAATTCCTTTCCGAACTTAAAATGACCTTTTTGCCCCTTTTTATATTAAATAATATATTTAATTTTCAAAAACCTTAATTAATTCAAATCTTTTTCATTTTTTTCATTTAAATTTATTTCCTTTTATTTAAATTATTTAATCTCCCCCAAATAAAAGTCAACTCTTAAATCATTTCAATATTTCCGGAGTAAAATTTGAAAAAAATTATAACCAGCCAGCCCATGTTATGAATGGCCCAGTCAAACTTTAATCAAAGAAAGAATATAACTTAAGCAGCCAAATAGTGGTTGTGCAGTGCAATTCCAGACAGAGTCGGGAGAGCTTCTTCTCAACGGAAGTCTTGGCTGTGCTGTGCAATCGTGGACACTAGACAGCCTCTTCTCTTCTCTTCTCATATAGAAGGAAATAAGTATTCTTCTTAATCTCTTCTCTTTAATTATCTTCTTCTATTGGGTTATTCCTAAAATAAATGTATGCATCTTAGTTTTAATTTTAATTTGAAATTGAGTTTTCTAGGGTTTAATTAGGAATGAAATATAATTTGGGGATTTTGTTGAAATTAATTAGGTCTTTGATTTTAAGAAATTTGTTGAGATGTTTGATTTAATGTTGGCATTGTTGAGATGTTTGATTTGTTGTTGGTATGTTAATGTTTGACCAAGATGATATGCATCGCCTTCCCTGCTCCAAGTGACTTAAAAGGTTTGGAAATTGAGTTGAGGTATTTTCAAAATGATATGCATCGCCTTCCCTGCTTTAAGGACCTCACCACTCTTCCTCAATTATGTCAACAATTGGTGGAAACAACTTTGGCAGAAAACTACCATTTACTTTACAGATTGATCAGTTGGTGTTGACTCTTCCTGTTTCTACAGCAACAACGGAACGAGCTTTTTCATGTATGAGAATTATTAAGAATAGACTTCGAAGCACTATAGCTGATGAATTCCTTGCTGATTGCATGATTCTCCACATTGAAAGAGAGTTTGCTAATAGTATCGATAATGAAGGGATAATTGAAGAATTTAAGATTTCTAAGCCTCGTAGGGTACAATTTTAGATTAAAATAGTTTAATTTTTGTGTTGCATTGCATTTACTTCTTGTTTTTTTTGTTAAGCTTTTATTTATGTATAGATATGCATATTTGAGGGTAAGGCTCATTATGTCCCCCCTGAATAGGTGTATCTTTTTATTTTTATCAATAAAATTCACTCATACCGTCGAGTTTTTAAGGTAAGTTTCGCCTACCTGACTTTTGAATTCTGGATCTGCCACTGGTTCCACTACTGATATCACCGAGGTCTTTTGTGATAAAATCTCACACATACTGGGCTTTGTAGGTGATTAAGTTGTAGACAATATTGGTATTGCTAATTGTGGGCAGTTGGCCCGTTCATTAGCATTTTGACTGACCTTTTTTTTTTTTCCCTTCCCTCTTTGTTTAGGCCACATTGGGGAGAGTAGCTGAACTGAAGGTGAAGATGGGTTACAACTCTATTGAATTGAAGAACACTACGGTCTGTTACATTCATTTTTATTAGAACAGCATATGTGTGGCAAACTGATCTCCATGCATTATTAACTATATAATTTGCTTTGTCTACGCATTTATTTAGTGGACTGCAAGCGCAAAACTTTGATTTATTCATAATGAAAATTGAGGCATGGCAACCAAGGTGGTTGGTGTGAGTGGTTCGGCACTCTCATTCCTTAAGAGAGGTCAGGGGTTCGATCCCTGCTCTCGTATGGAGTCACCACTTTGGCCAGCACTTTACTCCTTACGGGCCGACCCGGTGTGAACGGGGATTAGTCTGGGTTGTGGTTAAGGCTTAAAGGTGCCATCCATAGTTGGAGCCCATCCAGGACCACCTCGTGGTTCAGACCAAAAAAAAAAAAAAAAAATTGAGGCATGGCAATTAGTTTAGATGCTCACATTCTATATAATACCTTACAATTTGGTTTGTACTGTTGCAACAAAGACTTCAATCGTCGGATAAATGAGTTATAACTTAAGGAAGTTGAGTTGTTTTAACCAAATCATATGTGCAACTTGACCAATTTGAGATGGGTGAGAGTACAGTTGGAGCTCTCGTTCTCTTATATTCTTTTTTAATAACTCTCATTTCCTTAATTAGGGTTCAACTTTTGCATCCAATGTTGCCTTCGGGAACCTCCACTCCTGCAGCTCCATCATCACGATCACAGCCGCGATTGAGTAAAAGATGGCTCATATTGTTGAACTCATAAATCTCTTTTGGTAATTTAGTCATTAGACCATTCCAACCATTGGGGTGGAAACCCAAATTTTCAGTTTGGATCGCAAAATTCTTCTCTGGTAATTTAAGTTTAGCCCCAATATGGTTGGAAATGGTCTTATGTGTATTCTAAGTTTGAAACTCTAATATATTTCAAAATCTTAAGATACATTCCAATTTCAATATAATTTTTTGTAGTACTTTCGGATGTCGGAATTGATTTGGACTCACCAAATTCGAAAATTTTCGAATCAAAATCGGTTGGAATTGAATTTCCAATTCAACTTGCCTCGTTTGCAAGTCAATGTTAATTTTCACTGGACTAGATCCCGTTGGCGGTTGATTTGATATATATATTTTACTATAGCTTTGTGATTATTATCATAGTAATATTCAATTTATAAAACGCGAACGATAATAATTACATAGGGCAATCCAAAGCATATTTTGATTTGCACCCCCCTTTTTTTTTTTTTCTTGAAATCCTTTGGTAACTTTTTTTTTCTTGTATTTTTGTTTTTTGAGAAATTGTGGGATTGCATTCATAATTAAGCCAAAAAAAAAGCCACTAGCTACAAATGACCAATACAAACTAACCACAAAAGGACATTATAATAATGGAGCGATCTAACATCAAAATTAAAACAATTTAGGACTCCTCCACTAACGATCGCATAGGACCGAAGAAACTCTGGTATAGGCATCCCAACTAAGAAAGCAAACTCATAATAACTAAAAATAGATAAAGCTTGAAAAAACCAAGTCATAACAATACAAATAAAACTCTTACAAAGGAGAGGTGAAAAACTCTCACAAAAAGAGAGGTAAAAACTACACAAAATACCCAAAGAGTCTCTACGATTTATTCCAAACATAAAGAAACCGCAAAAAGGATGATGGTAGAGATCTGACACTGAAACGCAAGTGGGGATCCGATGCCAAGACGCATCTACCTTTGATGAGTGAAAGAAAATCATTACAAAACAAAGATAAATAGGGAAAACCTTATATCTCTGAAAATTGGGCAAAAGAGGAGAAGGTATAAAGGAAAAGAGGAGAGGGAAAGAAGAGAGAAGGGGAGAGGGGAGGAAGAACAATGACTTCCTACCCCCTCAAAGTGAAAACGGCTGTAGAGTCTTTTTGGGAAGAGAGGGGGCTAGAGTTTTCCACCAAATTAGTCACATTGTTTAAATGTGATTTAATTGTTTTTAGGTCTAGTATAAAAGGAAAATCGTACGGGAGGAAGGAGAAAGGA